TCAGGAGAAAAGTGTGGCCGTCTGCTTCCATAAAGATTTATAGCTGGAAACCCTAAAGGGCAATTCCACTCTGTCCTGGCATTGACTTGGCAGCAGTGAGGTTGGGGGTTTTGGTTTTACTGAGACCAGAGGCCAGAAACATCCCTTTTCAGAGGTCTGGGTTCTTTAATTTGTGTGAGCAGTGGATTTCCACCTTCTCTTATAATAGAGAAACTGGAGACCATAGAATCCTGGAAGCCAGGGGTCCTTAGTCTGTGGACCCAGATTTGTGGGCAGGGAAGAAAAAAAAATCCACATCTTTATTTTCATTAAAATGTAACCCAAGGTTAGCCTGCTAACCTTTTAAATTTTAGACATAAGCAACAAGTCTCAGTAGAATTAGCAGCACCTGAGAATCGCTAAACGCCATCACAGATATTTTCTAACATTCTATGTTGGAGTTATCTCAAAATGTTGTTTATACTAATCGCTCCTCAGAGTTTTGGTAGCCTCTAGATCCACTGCTAGTCCTCTGATCTTGTGCATCAATAAACATATATGGTAATATATTTCTTGTTAAGTGCTGTCAAATCGGTTCTGATTCATAGCAATGTATATGGTTTCTGAGGAGCAGTTGGTGGTTTTGAACCACCAACCTTATAGTTAGCAGTCCAGTGCTTATCCACACCAAGAACTCCTTGCTTATGAGCTGGGCTGCTAACTGCAAGGTCAGTAGTTCAAATCTTCTAGTTGCTCCATGGGAGAGAGATGAGGCTTTCTGCTCCCATAACGATTTTGATTTACAGCCTCGGAAACCCGCTCTGAGTTGGAACCGACTCAGTGGCACACAATTACCACCGCTGCCACCACTTTAGAAGAGTTCTTGTCATTGAGTCAATTCCAACTCATAGCGACCCTCTAGCACAGAAAAGAACTGCCCCACAGGGTTCCTGAGGCTGTTAGCTTTACGGAAGCAGACTGCCTCATCTTTCTCCCTTGAAGCAACTGGTGGTTTCAAACCTCTGCCCTTTCAGTTAGCAGCTGAGCTCTTTAACCATTTTACCACCAGGGTTTCTCAAAGTAACGTGTGGTTGTTAAGTGCCATCAAGTTGGTTTTGACTCATAGCAACACTGAATAAGGTTTCTGAGGAGCAGTTGGTGGGTTTGAATCAACAACCTTGAGACTAACAGTCCAGTATTGATCCTATAGCACCGCACCAGGAACCTTGTTGTTATTGAGAGCTGTCAAGTCATTTCTGACTCATAGTGCCCCTGTGTAGGATTTCTGAGGAGGGCCTGGTGGATTTTAACTGCTTACTTTGCATTTAGTTGTCCAGTGCTTATCCCATACCAGGGCTCCATCCAGAACCTTGCTGTTGTTGTTGTTAGGTGCCATTGAGTCAGTACCAACTCACAGCGACCTTATACACAGCAGAACGAAACACTGCCTGACCCTGGGCCAACCTCACTACTATTGCCACGCTTGAGTCCACTGACGCTGCCACTTGGCCAATCCATCTCGCTGGGGGTCTTCCTCTTTTTCTCTGACCCTCCATCTTACCAAACTTGATTATCCTTCTCCAGC